TTATGCTGGGCCCTCGTTTCACATGGTGGTGTTTTGGCTTCATATTAGAGTTTGGGTATGAGATTCAGGGCTAAGTAGGGGCTTGTCACACTACATTTAAGATGCCCAGGCTACAGTCCACACACAGGTATACAGTACACACCATAAACTAAATATTGGCCACCCTGTGGGGTGTCAGCAATGAAAGATGACTTGGCCAGGCAATGATATCATTAAAGACTAAAGTAGAGAAATGTAGGTGGATGCAAAAGGCCAACCTTCTCATTGCTCTGTGTGCTGCTGTATAATCTGTCGGTGGGGGGTGTGAATAAGCTCACTGCAAGGACAGTAAAGGTGTTGGAAAAGGGTAACTGTGACACAAACCAGTGTACTAGTCTATCAGCTTACAACCCCAAATGAGAAAAAGTTGAGACGGTATGTAAAATCAAAATTAAAACTAAAAATAGTGATTTGTAAATCATTTGTGTCCTGTATTACATTAAAAACAATACAGCAGCACATTATTTGATGTAATACTTCATCAATTTTATTCTTTGTTCAAAATAAACACTCAGTTCAATTCTGATGCCTGCAACACAATCCAAAAAAAGTTGTGACAGTAAAGGTTTTACCGCGGTTTGAAGTTGCCATTCCTTTTCACAACACTGAAAAGACGTTTAAGTGCAAACAAGTTGTAGACATGTTCGGGTCTTCGTTGACAGAATTTGCGTTTCAAAATGAGCCACATATTCTCTACTGGGGACAGGTCAGGACTGCGGGCAGGCCAGTCCAGCACTTTCCACCACAGCCAGGCTTTGTTAATGTGGCACTATGAGCTTTTACAATGTCTTGTTGAAATATGCATGGACGTCCCTGGAAAAGATGGCATCTTGAAGGCAGCATACTGTATGTTGCTCCAAAATCTCTATGTATTCTTCAGCATTAATGGTGCCAACACACAAGTGTAAATCACCTTTGCCAAGGGCACTGGCACAACCCCAGACCATGACAGACCCTGGCTTTTGGACTTGTTGCCAGTTACAGTCTGGATGGTCCTTTTTGTCTTTGGTCTATCTTTGTTCCTAAAGGGCTAGGCCTGTTCTGGATGCCACTTTTGTACCAAATCATGATGCAGGCACCTGTTGACATCATCTGTTTCAAATGGAATCATAAATCCATTGTTTTATCTCATTACTGGCCCTGAAATGCAGCCATTCCGACTTTTTTTGGAGTGTGTTGCAGGCATCGGAGTTGAAATTACCATTTATTTTGAATGAAGAATAAAGCTGATGAGGTATCACATCAAATAATGCACAGATGATTTACACATCACTATTTTTTGTTTTAATTTTGATTATACATACGTCCCAACTTTTTCTGATTTGGGGTTGTACTTTCATGCAATTTTTATTCTCTGTCAGAGGATTAAATTGCCCAGTGTTCTTCATGGGGAAGGTGAGTCTGCTCTGACTAGAATGATTGGACTAGTTTGACTAGATGATAATACTATACTGTATGTGAATAGATTGTTATTATCATGTTTTGTGGAGGTGTGTAGGACAAACTGTACTGGTAAAATCTGAGAAAGCAGCAGTGAAGTTTCTTTGGGGATAGGTTGGCCATACACAATTTGCAGAATAGAAATACTGATATGGAGGAGAGACCTATAAAGTGAATGAAAAATATGTAATTGACTAACATGAGACACCTTAAAATAATCTCTTATAATTCATTATTCCCATAATTTTACATCCAAACTAACAATTACATCATCAGTTTCTTTTTCTGTTTTCTTTATTTAACCTCGTAAGAGTCTCATTGTGATTAGAATGTCTCTTGTTAGAGAGACCTGGAAAAACAGGCAGATTAAAGACATTGTTAAAACAATAAATACAGGTATCTCTACTACAAAAGAGCATAAATTATATCCAGTTAAGGTGCATAAGCAGGCACATGTTCCAAAGACCGGCTAAAATAAAATGAAAACAATAAATTAATCGCATTCTTACCTTTCAGAAAACGTGGCATCTCCACAGTGCTTGTTCTAATACTTTGGATAACTGAATGTTATTCTTCTCAGGAGCTTTTACCATGTTTTCACAGAACAGCTATCAACAATACCGCATACCATGTGGTACCTTGCACACAGAAAAAAAAATCCACTGTGGATAATAAAGCTGTTGTAACACTAAATAGTCAAAGTAAGTTAAAAAAAAAAAAAAAAAAAGAATTCACAGCATTTTCTCCATGGTGCTGAACTATGCTATTGTCTGTTAAAAGAATATCACAATATTTTCATTGTGGATTATAAATAAAATAGCATTTTACGTCATTTATATATAAACAAATGGCTCCATTTTTCTTGAAGACTTAGGAAGTCAAATTTTTTTCCACTTTCATCCAAATTAGATTGCTTAAAGTGCACATGCAGTGTCATAACTCACAATTTCTCAAAGAACTTAAAGGCCACCTATTTGTAGATGTACAAGTTGCCATAGCATGTTGCCATGGTGAACGAGCCACTACACAGACACATGGAGTGACAGCTATCGGACTTGCCGGTGACCAGAAAATGGATGAAGATTCTCCCCAGAGCTCTGGATCAATACCTCTTTGCACTGAGGTCTCTGTCAGAATGATCAGTTGAACAATTTGATGTTAATATTATACGGATACAAACAGTGAACTAAGTACATTTATGAATACTGATGCAGAATCAGTATCAGCTGGGAGCAAACACTGACAGCCCAACATTATGCAGTTTTGCCTGTATTAAGTTTGTATGAGCAATATGGTCATCCATCATTCACCTCTTTTATACTGTCATTGACAATATATATAATTCATGCTCAATTTTTAGAATTTAGTATCAATCATAAATTCTTTTCATGTCTTGAATAATTTTGCATTGAATTTCAAGCAGTTAATAAATACATTTCACAGGGAGCAAAATGTCTCATGGACATTTTCAATCTTGTTTTTGGAAAAGCCCGGGCTTCCCAGTTCTTGCTTCAATACTGCCCCCATGTGATAGGAAGTTGAATATTCCTCAGGCAGGAAGGTGCTCAAAAGAATCATAATATAATAAGAATTCATGATTGTTGCAGTAGGTAGGCATCAACAAAAACATCAGCACTCAAACAGCCATGATCATCAAGAGTAGTAAAGCCAGTTCAATGTTTTTTGTTCAAATTATGTTCAGACAGCAAGGTTGCTATTTAGGTTTGGGAATGAATTTATCATGCTGTAATTGACAGTGTTGAATAAATCCCTGGTCCTTGTCCTTAAGACAATGCAGCCCCACCTGCGCCTCCTGTTTTACTTTCTCAGAATAGCTAGACAGAGAGCGGAATAGATTAAAAAAAAAAAAAATCTTCTTTAAGTTGATGACTGTCTTTTTCCTTAGTTGACAGGCAGGTCTGGTGCACCATATGAAATATGAAACAGGATGGGGACACCGCTGACAACCATGTCACAAAGCATCAGTGGGGATGACAGGACCAAAGACCCTGCTCTGCTACACTGACATCTCTGCAGCTAATCGGAAGGTACAGGCCCTCACAGCTGCCGGACCAAAAGATGGCGAGGGGGTCAATAATTTAGCAGTTGCAGTATGTTAAGGCCAGTCCAATGTTAAGTTAAGGTCTCCTTCTGTCCTTCTGCTGTACTCTCTCTCTCACGCTGACTTTCTTCTCACACATTTTGTGAACAAAGATTCATCACCTGCCGTGTAGTGTGTCAAATTACAGCAATTCACGGCTTCACGAGATTTCAACACATAAAACACTTTTAGGACTCAAGAGAATGCCGCTGTACAGTATGACCTACTGTATGTGTTATCATTGCTTTATGATTTGACTGACAATCTAAAGCAGCTTACTTTCCTGTGGGTATTGTGAGGACACCCATTGCAAATGAAATGTCCCGATAGTGTTTACACCATCCTCATTGAGTAAACAAGACTCTTGTTTTCATTCGTTGCTCTGTCTTGAGCTTTCTATGAGGCATTAAAGAATTTCCCAGGTTTTCTCTGCTTGTGGGTCACGTTGCCATGACAACTGAGCTGAATGTTCTGGCAGGCATCACCTTTGCTGTCTCACCTCTGGTGGCTGGCACTCCAGTGTCAGTGGTCCAGAGCTGCTGATAGTGACTCAGTAGGTGGGCTGGGAAGGTGGAGATGGGGAGAAAGTGAAGGTGACGGGACAGGAAGATGGGCAGAGAGAGGAAGGAAGTAAGGACAGAGAGTTGGCTCATTGGCCCTCTGGGGCCCTATGCTGTCCTAATGAGGGATGCCAGCGCAGCACTCAGGTGAAACTGAAGTGGTTGCAAAGTGATGGCAAGGAGTCATCCCAGTGGAGGAGGAGTACATTTGCAAGCCTCACAGATCTTGTTCAGAAGACTCGCTGACCTTGTAGCTGTCTGAGAAAACAGCTATTGGATAGCAATTTAGAAAACTCTCATTAAAACATGAAATAATTGTACTGTCATTTATACATAAGCTGACTATTCACTAAATCCCAGCCCTATCATTGTCCAATCATAGCTCTGTTAGGAATAGAAGTCAAACGTTGGATTTCTCCACATGTTGAAGAGCTCTGCACGGGTTTCTAATGAAGGTATATAAAGAGTTTTGAAGTTATCTTCTTTTTTTTTTTAGCCTTTACAAAACCAAAAACACAAGATCAAAACTTTAAGAAATGAGTGAACTGTGTGTATGCCTGCCTTAACAAAAAAACATTTGCATGTCAGGCTAAATAACTCACTACCTATCATTACTGCCAAACACAAGAGATAGGTCATTTTGTGTGGTTGCAGGTTATGTTAGAAAAATATCTTTTCACCTGCAGTGATGTCATGAATGAAATTACATCACTGCTTGCTTTGGTCATAGATGCAAAAGTGCATGCTCTTCTAAAATTATATCTAGAAGTATTAGTTAAAGTAAACTAAAGGTCAATGACAGCATATAATATTTCACAAAAAAATGTTTTTTTATGTATCAGTAAAAATCAAGTTCATCATTCAGGCTGAAAAATAAGATTTATTTTCTGTTGTGCAGGGTATGTTTACAGCTTGGACTCCGCATGAATAGCAACAAAAGGGTCCTCATCTTTGTTGCTGATACTGAAGTGGGCACGGCCATCGTTGTCCACTTGGATCTGCTTCCCAGTGCACCTGTTTCCTTCCTTCTGGCCAGAAATGACATCACAGTAGGTGCCACCAGGCATGCCAGTGTTCAGGGTCACATTCAGGTCCCTGAAGATGAGGCAAAGGTGCATATTGTTTTTAAAAGCCACCACAGTGTCATAGTGAACCTGTGATTTGTAAGGGTTTTTCCTTCTTGCTTTCTGACATCCATCTGCCTCCTGTCCTTTACATTTTACATCTGGCTATAAATGGTGGACTTTGTGTTTCGTCAGTACCAGTTTGAGTAGTAACTAACTACCCCTTACCAGTCATCATTGTTAAAGACGATGAAGCCACGATCACCACGTCCAAAAGCAACTTGGTTGTTCTGATTGTCCCACCAGTTGGAGTGAGGTTGTCCATTGACCACGTTACGGAAGATGGCCATGTTCCTAAACAAGATACAATGGAAAATATCGATTGACTTGACTTTCTTGCAACCTAATGATTGTGAAGGTAGATTTTATACTATAGTACATTTGATCTATTTATAATAATAATAATTTACACATTAGACCAAGCAGAAGTGAACAATATTTTGTGTGTAAGGTCAGAAGTGTGCTGTCTCTTGTTTTCTGTGGTCTTAACTTGATCTGACGCCATCTGTGCTCGCACACCCATCCGTCTCCACACGTCTGGTCAGGGTTGATGGGAACTGGCTTAGTGGATCCATCAGCATTGCTGGGAGGACCCAGCCAATCATTTTCATCCTACAAGGTAATGATGAATAAGTGGATTTATTTAAAAAAAAATGCATTCAATATGTTGCATGGTAACATTATTCCCTCCTAACAGAGAATATACCTTTCCATTCACAAAGTGACGGTTCCAGCGGAAGCTAGACATCACCCTGGCTACACCGTAAGGGTGGGCCAGCATGTAGCCAACAGCCATTTTGTACAGCCTGGGGTCCCAGAAGGTAAGGATAGATGCACCACCAGCACCGTGGCCTCTCTGGTTGTCGTGGTTGTCAATGAAGACGAGTGCGTTACCGTCGGGCATGAAACCCCATCCCTCTCCCCAGCTCCTGGACACAAAATTTTTCTAATGAGGAATTAACTAAATATTACCTAAAGTATTTAATTCAAAAGCTCTAAAATGCACCAGTTCTAGTCAATGAGAATTTATGAATGATTATGCCAAACATTTTATTATAAACCTTAGCTAGTAAGTCCATCGATATATGCAGCAAATGGGATTGTACCTATGTCATATTTAAAATAACCTCTTCTAATGTATCATTTTGTGTATGACACCAGCAGAAACACACATACCTGGTGTAACACAGCTTCTCACCGTTCCATTTCCTGAAGACAGTTCCCAGTTTGGCACCATACTTGAACTCAGTCACTCTTCCCAGATGGAAGTACTCTTTAGCTGTGATGGACTCACCTCCCATATCAATAACCTGGAGGGAAAACATAACATAATTCATATCCTTGATGCTATATAAAGTAGGAATGGTTTGGATTAATGGCACCGTGTCTGTGATTTGAGAATTGATATAAAACGACTACAACAAATAAGCTTTCAAGCTTTTTAGTGAAGACAGCACATTATTTTTGATATCACAGGCTTTTTTTCTCCAGCTTATTATCTCTGGATTTTTTAAATTACTGACATTGAGTACCTTATAGCATTGTATCAGATGTGCTGTTCAGGTGCTTGTCAACACAAAATAATTCAGTAACTTTTATAGAAACATCTGCTCCTAGAGTGCTTGTGTTTGTCATCTTGATTCCTGTGCTCATTTTCCCATGGCTCTGCTGACTGCTGCTTTGTATTATCAGTCATAAATATTGGACACATGGGCAGTTACTCATCCAATCACATGCTTGCATGCACAGATTACAGCTGAGCCATGAATGCAAATAACTTTTTTTTATCAGCAGTTTCTGTTCACTGACTGCAAGTTTTTGTGTGTGTCTCATCAGAAAGTCATAAATTTAATTCAGAATTGATAAAATTGCCATTTTTGCCCATCGGTCTATACTTTGTTTAGGCCGATGTCTATAATGATTAAATGAAAACATGCTTTTTGAAGTTTCTGATGTACAAAAGTATTCTATACGTCAAATCTGAATTTAAAACAGTGAGGAAAAGGGGACCATGAGGCAGCCATATTTATTAATGCTACAGTATACTATAAGTATTTAAATGGAAGTGAATGGTTTGTTTACCAGGTGATATTTTTTCCTGCCTTTTTGAGATAAACAACCATTCCTGTATGAAAATAAAGTAAAAAAAAAAAACATGTTAAAACCTACCTCCTGGTAGATGAAGGGTTTGGAGCCATCGGGGAACCATCTGGTGTTAAGGTTGTGCAAACAACCGAAAACAACGGTCATGTCGCCGGGCCACATGTGCTTGCAGGCATCCACTCTGAATCCAGCCACACCCATGTCAATCAGCACGTTCATGTATTCAGCCAACTTGCCCCTGACATAATCTTTCTCCAGAGCGAGGTCCAACAGACTAGCTAGACGACAGTCACGTACCTGAAGCAGTGAATATTCACAGCATTATTCATGTTTCCAAACTCCTCTTGTTAATATAGTCTTAACACATTTACCTACTGTTCATACATATAGCATCTGTTGCTAGTTTTAGGTTGACTGCCCATAGCATTTAAATGGCAGTGTTCCGTTTTGTACAACTGCCAACTAAATCAAAGTTAGTTGGATTCAGTGTGACCACATCAAACAGTTGGTAATTATGGAAATCTCTGACTAAACAGTGTTGTATGGATCATGAATGGTGCCAAAAAATACTGTGAAATGTAAAATGGACACAGGTCTGAAAGTGTTCTTGAGTGACATTCATTACCTGATAGGCATCACCATAGTTCTCAATTTCACCGCTGGCGGTCTTGCACTTGTTGTCGTTAAAGTCCCAGCCGGAATAAGGGACACTGGGGAAGTCCTTTGTGCCAGCATTGAACCAGCTTCCACATGAAGAGTGGTTTCCCTCTCCACCCCCAGCACCGCACATGTGGTTGATGATGGCGTCCACATAGATATTTACCTATTGAAAAAATAAAGGATTATAGGTCCAACACAGCAAATCAATCCCTCACCATTTCTACTTGTTTTCTTCACACATAGGTTTATTTTCAAGTTGTAGAAATATGTCAGGACTGCACCATATTGGTTTACTATAATGTCGGTGGTTCAATACTATGCTTTAAACAAAAGTATGAATGATAGTTCCTCAAGACGGTGGCATTCATTTCTTAAATTGTTTCTCTTTGCATACAATATTTCTTGTTTTAAAATGACAGGTGCATGTTGTTTTAAAATAGGGTGATGATGATGCAAAAAGCATGAAGCGTTATGTATCTTGTTAAAATCTGTTGTCTTGTAAAAGGCTGTAGATTTACGAGGTGCTGTCAAATGCAAAAACACAACAGTACTAAAATCGTCCATCACTGTTGTAATGTAGTTTACCCCGACATTGTTGCATCTGGTGATCATGTCTTTCAGCTCGTTCTCAGTGCCAGATCTGGAGCACAGCTTGTAGCTGATTGGCTGGTATCTCTGCCACCAGGGCCTCCAGGGATTGTTCAGTATAATGTGTTCATTTGGAGGGGAGATCTGAGCAACACAGGAAAAAGGATTACAGTAATAATTACTTTTAACAGGAATCGTCTGCAGATGGATGACCATTGCTAAATAGGTTACAGCATACATATTGTAGTTAATAAAGGGACACTCCTGTGATTTTGCAGTTTAATCATCATGAGACAAACCTCTCAGCTGATGAAAACAGTTGTATAGTGTATAATATGGCTGTGGAAGAAGAATCCATCCTAAAAATTCAGTCTCTGTTGTTTTTAATATTCCTTTAAAATTCTGTACCCCTTTATTTATTTATTCTTACCAAGTAATCACAATCAGTGGTGGACAATTACTCAGTAATGTACAACTTTAAACAGGCTGTTTTGCTGTCCTGTGTAGCAGTTACACACAGCTCAATATGCAGCTTGATTACTGTTTATAGATTTTTTGTAAAATAGAAAAAGAACAGATTATCCTCCTTTCTAAGAACTAGAATATGGTTCACACCTGTGTTCAGCCGCACATACCTGAACTCCACCAAATCCATTGGGACCCAAGAAACGCTCACACTCTGCAGCAATGTCGGCCCAGCGCCACTCAAATAGGTGGACAATGGCTGTCCTGCCATTCTTGGTGTGGGGGTTGTGCTGGGCACGGCTGAGCCCGAGCAGAGCCACCAGAATGAACAACCTCATGCTTTCTCTGGAGGAACACCACATTCATTGCTGCTCGCTGTTTGCATTTATACTTTATATTCCCCCCTCCTGGACCAATGAGTAACCAGCAAGTATAGTATCAGCATGAACATTAAACAGGTGGTTCTTTATCGAGGTTTCCCAGATTCTTTCAAAACAAGCAGAAGGAAAAATAGCTTCAAAGAGCAAAAAAAAACAAAAAAAAAAAAACAGAGAAATGTTATATGTCCATAATGGCTTATCCCAGAAATTCTGAGCTGAAAAACTGAAACAGCTTAGTATAAAACAAAAACAAAAGAAAAATCACATTCTACATACCCAGCAGCAACACTAGCCCTCAAAAACATTTTATGCCCTTAAACATTACCATAAAGCCATATTTGCTTTTTTAAAATAAATTTTCTCTTGCACAGATTAAAATCTGAAGGCATAAATGTTGTATTTTGAACTCTTACCACCTACAACATGAGAGGCTTCGAGTCATCCAGCCACAGTGTTTGATCACTCAGTTCATTAACCAGATGATGTTGTAACAGGCAGCTTAACCTTTGATTTGGAATGAAAATCTTTTATAGGCAAAGCATAAATCAGCTGAGGCAGGTAAATTCTGTGTGAGCGTTTTTGATAAGATATCTGTCTGTTTGTTGGTGGGTTTGATGGAAAAAGAGTAATGGGGGAAAGTAAACAGAGAAACAGTTACTTTTCCATGTTTTAAATTCACACGTGAGTGATGATGTAATGCAGTTACTTGAAATGAACTTGGCAATTAAACCTTGAGCAGTGATGGTAATCGTGAGTTAAATGTGTCTTAACAAGAAAGAAGCAGGCTGCATTTGTTTCACACCCCTTTCTGGTTTGATCCTAAATTTGTTTTAATATGAAAATTCACACTGTTCCTTGGATTTCTTTGCAAAAGTATGAAAATATATCTATCAAATGTATCGTGTGTCACTCACAGAATGTGGAAACAAACCTTAAAAATCTCCATAGCAGCAGTTAGTTTTACATACAGTGCAGTAACTACTGTAATCTTTTCACTAAACAAAACATGCCAGGACCTTGTATAACCTCATGTTGTTGTTAACTCCTTTGCATCAAGAAAAACCAATACAGCTGCACTTTAGTGAGAAAGGTAGAATGTCAAATACAATATGTAGAAATAAATCAGTCCTGACACAACACAAGCATTTTCCCATTAGAAGCTTCATCTGACCTGCTGCTTAGTAATGCGGGTAAAGGGTCAAGATGCCAGCTCAACTGAGTAATTTCTGGTAGCACTCTACTTAGGATATATTTATGGTGTTATCCAGCTTCAGTACAGGAGTCCAGCTCAGTTCTCACAATAAAGTGGTGCAGTAAAGACTAACCCGTCAGATAAAGACTCCATGGAACAGGTTTCTAATCAGAAATTAGGCTGAGCTGAAGGAATTCATCTAGCTATTAACTGCCTTCTTCCTAGAGCCTGCCCCACTACCTGCTCACTAGCAGCTTTAATGGCCTTGATTAAAGATACTTTGAGAAAACACTTTAGTTAATGACAGCTTCCTCCTAATTGTAACAGGTGTTTCGTTGCTGAGAAAGGTTTAAGCTGAAAGTATGCTATTACTGCTTGGAAATTTCTAGACCAACCAATAAAAAGCTTGATCTATGGACCTGACGTATTCACACACAGTCTGTGTTTATAGAAGAGAGGCACTCTTTAAAGAAACCCTTAGATTATAATTAAATCATTTAATTTAACTGTGGCATGGCACCGTACTTTATTTAGCAAGCCCAAAAGCATGTCTTAAAGACATAAAGGCCGGGATGACCTGCAACTTCTTACTTCTAAACTCTGACAAAAGAGAAGTTATTGTGCTTGGGCCTTAAAAACCTTAGAAATCTGCTGTCTAATCATATAGTTACTTTAGATGGCATAGCTCTTGCCTCCAGTACTACTGTGAGGAACCTTGGAGTCATCTTTGATCAGAATATGTCCTTTAAATCACACATAAACCAAGTCTCTAGATCTGCCTTCTTTCACCTGC